TGTGTGTGTGTGTGTGTGTGTGTGTGTGTGTGTGTGTGTGTGCCAGGTGCGCGTGCGCACGCAGATGTGCCCACCACCAAGACCCAACCTCTTCCAGCCAAGGGGCAGGAGGCGGGTCTCTGGAAGAAGGGAAATATAAACGCAGGAGGAGAGAAGGCAGCTGTCTGAAGAAAAGAGGAAAGCAGACGAAAGACGGGGACGCGTCCCCTGGCAGCATCCAAGTCTCACAGGCCCTCAGCATTCCTGCGCTTGGAGCCTGCAAGGCGTCAACGAGCTCTGCGACGAGGTCCGCTGCTCGGACTGCAGGTGTCTGTTACTGGTCACTAACGAGTTCTAGTGAGTTACACCTTATTAATTCAGAACCCCCCAAAAAGGGTCCCAGGATGAGCCAAGTGGCCAACAACTGGCTAAAATGCACAGTGAGGCCATTCTAAGCAATGCCAGCTTATCAGCCAACGCCAAGGCAGCACGTTCTCTAAGAATGAAGAAGGGAGGCCTGGAGACTTTAGGTAAATGAGTAAAAGTGAAATAGTGGTGTCTGCTAACCCCACACATAAAGCTCAGGGAGAAGAGCCCCTGGGGGGTGAATCTGAGACAGGGATGGCTCTCTACGTGGATCAACAGTGGGTTAGCTCCCTAAGTAGAGTGCAACATCTCTATTCCGTGAGTGGAAGCCACTGGATGGTTTTGGGGGTTAAAAATGGTACAGTTAGCTTCAGAATCACTCGTGTTGCTTAAAAAAAAAAAAAAAAATTCAAGCGTTCTCCCCTGATAACCCGGTAAATAATTTTACTAATTTCCTAAGGGAGGCGAGTATTGCCATCAGCTCTTACCAGTCAAAAGAAAAATAATTACACTCTTGGGAAGAATGCTTTTAAAAGCATCCCAAGTATTTAAGGCTATACCCCATCAGGACGCGGAGGCAGAAGAACAGAGCTATAAGTAGCATGCCCTATTAGGAGCGCGAAAGGGGTGAAGCGCAGAGCTCCAAGATGGGTGAGGTTAGGTTAAACGGAAGGAGCTCCCTGTAGGGGACAGTCTGTAGGGTGAGTCCACCCACCACCAGGCTGCAGACCAAAATAGCAATTTATCTCTCTGGCAGCCCAACCTAAAAATAGTCAAGCCATTACACAGCAAGTGGAATAGACTTTCACATTTTCTCCCCAAAGCAGAGAAGAGAGCTCGCTGTGTGTGTGACAGCCCCAGCCCAGACAGAATAACTCAGGTGGAGAACGAGGCAGATGTTGTATCCCAGCAGTGGTGCTGTCCCCCGATATTCAGGGCAAGATTTGGGGACCAGGGGAAGGTCCCTCTGAGAAGCAGGACCCTCTAAGCAAGTGTCTGGGGTTGGGTGGGACAGACAGCACAACTGTTCTGCGGGAACATTCCCACTGCGATTTTCCCAACTCTCTCCGCCCTGCCAGGGTGCAATCAAGCCTCCGAGAGCAGTCAGTCAGGAAAAGCAGATGTATAAATGCAAACGAACACCCCCACACCGAGCCTACGCTCTTCCTCGGAAAAATAAAAGACGGAGAAGGATTGTCAAGCATCATGGAAAGCAGCACCCATTTATGGAAGGCACCCACATTTCACGCACAGTCATCCCGAGATAGATTTGCTGGGTGGCCAGCAGTTAAGGAAATGACCCGAAAGGCAGACGGTTAGAATCCACGAGCCCCTTGGATGAAAGGACTGGCAATCTACTTCCAAAAATTCAACTGTTGAAATTCTGTAGAGCATGGCTCCCCTCTGACACCCATGGGGTCCCTGTGAGTGGAAGCAACCGGGAACCCTAATAGTTACCCAGAGCTCCAATAGAGTACTCCAGCAAGCTTTACGGGGTGCAGAGGCGATTTAGTCTTAGACACAAAGATAATACTTCGGAAGGCCATTAGTTAACACTTACACCCCCAGTGTTCCTGTCAGCCCTTTCTCCCCTCCCCTTCCCTAGCCCCAAGTGGAACTTCAAAACTATTGGGTGGGGGGCAGGTTCAGGTCCTGGGAGTACCCCCCAGCTCCTTAAAACCAGTTGCCTCCAAGCTGACTCTGACTCATAGTGATCCCCAGGTGTCAGGGTTGACTGGGGCTCCCTGCGGTTTTCAATGCTGAATTAGCTCACTAAAAAAAGAAAAAAATACAAAACCAAACCTCACTGCCCTTGCGTCAATTCTGCCCCGGTGGGATTCCCAGGCTGTCAATCTTTAGCAGAGCAGAAAGTTTCGCTGGTGGCTTCCAACTGCTAACCTGGGGGCCGGCAGCTCAACCTGGCTCCAAGCACTGGGCCCTCGGAAATTTCGGCCTCTGCAACCCACCCTGCGGGAGGAACACGAGCTGCCTTCCTCACTCTCCAAATGCAACACCCTAGAGACACACCAACAAACTCACAGCCGTGATGTTGGTTCCAACTCTTCGCAACCTACACGACAGAGTAGAACTTGTAGCGTGCCCTCTGGGTTTCTGGGACTTTAACATCTTTACAGGGGCAGAGAGCCTCACCTTTCTTCTGAAGAGCAGCTGGTGGAGTCAAACCTGAGCCTGGGGGTAGCCCCTCAATGTGTAACCCACTGCGCCACTGGGGGGCTCATCATGCAACCACACTGCCCCTCAAAAAAGATTCCTGACCAGCCTGCCTTTGTACATTTCTACAGCAATGACAAAATCCAGGCAACAACAGCGCAGGTCTGTTTGTAAGGAGCCACAATAGTCCATTAAAACTGCATCAAATCACACACCCCAGCCTGTTTCAAAATCAGCCTTCAGCGTCCCAAGGCGCTTCAAGCAAGAACTCCTCCGTGGCCACAGCTCTTCGTGGCCTGCAAGCGGCCTTCACTGCTGCTTCTCCCATAGGCCCCACTTCTCTCTCGCTCCCACTCAAATCACCTTACCAGGGTTCTATGCCTCAAACATATCCCAGTCTGGTCCGGTCAGCCTGGGGTGTCGACACTTGCTGTATGTTTCAGCCTGGAACTTTCTCCTCCCAAATGCCTGGTTCTTCTCATCCTTTAAGCTCAAATGTTGCCTTCCCAGGAAGGTCTTCCAGACCCCCCAACCACAAGTAGCAGCATTTCAGCCTTCCCCCCCACTGCCCTCTGTTCCCACTCTTAATAACCCAACTTAGTTTTAAAAATGTGATCTCAAGTCCAACTGTATGAGAACTCCACCAGGGCTGGCCGTTCGCCTTTGCGTCGGCTACCCAAGCATAATGCCTTGTTTACTGCAGGTGCTTAATAATTGTTGAGTGAATGACAAGAAAGATGGGGCTTCCCAATGCTGCAAAAACCTTTTAACAAGAGGGATTTCAGTCTGTAGGAATCAAGAGGTTGACCATGGGACAGAGAGAAAGAGGCCTTCTGGAAGCCATTAAAAACTCTTAATGGCCCAGACCATGGGCAAGCCAAGGGTCCTTTCATTATCAAAGGACCCCTATCCACAGTCCCGTTATAGTCAACCAATTAGCCCCCCTTTAAGTAGGAGCCCTGGCGGTGGGGTGGGTTAGGGGTTGGCTCAGCTAACCATAACGCAAGGGCAGCAGTTAAAACCCATCTGTTGCTCAAGGGAGAAAGCTGAGGCAATCTCCATCGATAAAGACTGACAGCCTTGACAACTCTCAGGACAGGTCTCCTGTGTCTTATAAGGTCACTGTGAGTTGGAATCGAGTCCCTGTTGATTGTGCTGAAGGAAGGGGCCCTGGAGGTACACTGTTAACCGGGAGGCCAGCAGTTCAAACCCACCAGCCCCTCCCCAGGAGAATGGTGTGAAGCGTAAAAGATCCATAGCCTTGAAAACCCTCAAGAGCAGTTCTCCTGTCCTACGGGTGGGCTACGTAAAGAACTGACTCGATGGGCAGTGAGTTTGTACTGCTCTGACAGAGGAGCATCCTTGGAAAGGCATT